CGTTCGCATTTGGTGGGTAAAATCTTCACAAGTACAACGGCGCTTAAGGACGAAGCGCGAAAATGTGTTCATATAATGACCAAAATGGCGTTGTAAAGCGTAAATCATTAACAGCGCGAAAAATAATGTTTAAGCCATAATAAATATTCATTTCCTCTGAGTTGTAGAGTACCTTTCTAGTTTTATTTTAATTTTTCAAGTTGGCGAGATATTGAGATTAACAACAAGCAAGCAAGGAGCATTTTCAGAATACCAACATGAAGCTACTCTAAAATTCTCTCGTTAACTTACGCTAGTACTCCCACAAAAATGATTCTTCGACTATAAAATTGTGTGTTTATTGCAATACATGGGATAGAAATGAAGTCAAGTTAATTCAATTGCTTACTTAGGCAATGACTGATTCGGAAGGCCTAAACCTTTCAGATATCTCGAAAATGCAGAATATGTGTGATCGATTATTCGAGAACAGCCTGGAATATTGCTTTGAAAGTGTAGAGAATGTAGGTTATAACTGTAAGAAAAGTTATTGGCACTTACATTGACTTGTGCTTCAGTGTCTCGTGTATACGCCATAATAATCCGATACCATTTATGTCACCCACATAATATTTTCATAACAGGGTCCCCTCATTTCTTAAATTACTTGTGCTTAGGTGCTCTTGAAAGCCCAAATGACCTAGTATTAAATGTTTATAGATCTATTTTTGGCGGACATTTTTTTTTTGGTCATTGTAAGTTTGGTCGCTTATACCTTCTTATTTGTGGTTGCGCTATGTTTTTATCTCTCAAAAATAATAGACCATATACGTTTTTACTTGGTAGGTGGCGCTCCGTTAAAATATATATTTGAAATCTGTATTTTAAAAACACTTTAGTACTTGTATTATACGCTGTATTTTAGCTACTGGAAAATGCATATAGTTAAAATCCTCAACAATGTTTTAATAAAATTCAAATTGATGTCCAGTTTTTTTTTTAAAGGGCAAAGACGAAGTAATACTCAAATTTTTAAAAAGCATTAAGGGGTGGTATCCACTTATGAATTTCAAAAAATAAATTTCTTGTTTTTAATATAAATCGAATATATATTTTAGAATAATCTCTAACATTTTAAAGTTGACACGGCAAATAGTTTCGGAGATAAGAGCGTATTTGCAAGAATTTTTTAATTTCTTGGATTTGGTTCCCCAAAATATTAAACGTTTTTTTCTTGAAACGCGATTTTCAGAGTAAGTGAAGTGGACGTATCGACTTGGCTGCACCACGACCCTCTTAGATATATTTGTCAATGTTATTGTCCATTTTGTAAAGATTGAAGGAATAATATTTTTGATAACAATTTGGATTTTTTAGCCCCTTCTATAGGTCCTACGATATCAAGGAAATCCAAAATTTTACAAAATTAATCACTGATTTTTAAAGTACATTAAATTCTGTAAATGCACATTATATTTATAGTTTTATTAAATAAAATGGCTCTTCAAAAAAAAATATTTCTAACTTGCAAGTGAACGTAACCCCTTTAAGGGACGGTATATGGGAATTATTCATCATAAATTTAAAAATAGATTTACGATTTTTAGTTAATGTATCTTTTCTCCAGAAAGCTCTACATTGGTGAAAATAGTCGCAACGTAGTCGGGGAGAAAGCAGATAGATTTGTTATACCGTACGATTAGAAACAAGTTTTCTACTCCAAAGGCGCTAACAGTTGCAGTTTCATGCTAAAGTAAATACGAGATACGCCGAGCTTTACACAGCAACAGTCACACCTCACTAAAAATACATTTAACAGGGTTCATTCGTAGTGCTACTGAAAACTACTATTTGCGGCTCTCTATCCTCAAGCTTCTCTGTTACCCTTAACTTGTTTGACACCTACTGAACTGTAAAGTGAACAGTTGATTATTTACTAATAATTTAAATAATAAAGTTCGACTACGATGTATTCTAATATAAATATTAGCAAGTTCATGTTTCTTCGTACGAAAATGTGTGACACACTTATATATATCTAAATGCCCAACTTTCGATTTCAACTGCAGCTTTCAACACATAAGAGTGTCCGAATGTAGCTTAAGAGAAAATTTCCTTTATATTTTAGCTTTTCCTTTATCTGAAGGAGAAGGAGTGAATAATGATTCACTTAATATCGTCAAAAATTTAAAGCTTGTTCTATGACTGCTAAGTAAACAGTGCTGTTAATGTAACAGCAAATGTTGATTACACTAATATTCTCCAGAGAAACTGTAACTGTTAACTGATTGCATTAATTTAGAGAGTATTTATGAAATTTTAGTTCATTTTGTTAACATAAGTTGTCTCTTCACTCAAGTTTAGTATATGAATTGAGTGTTTTTTGTCTCGCTAATATTTTCATGAGCGTTAATTGCACCAAACTCAAATAGATTGCAAATGCAGGGCAATTAGAGGTCAGTTAAGTTGTTGCTCAAATCTTAGCGAGCAATTTATTTTTTGTAAGGAATTAAGGAGATATTTTTAGTAGTTTTTTGTAAAATAAAGATGTTATATATATATATATATTGTTTTATAAACTTATTACCTTTTATTAACGTGATGATTTATTAAAACATTGCTTAAATAGGGATCAAAAAACCTTGCTTACATTTAGAGCAAATGTAGATTGAAGACAAAATTTATTATATTATATTTTAAAAAATAAAGACCAATCAAAAAGGTTAGTTAATTTTCCCTTTTGGCAGACGATTGTTGATATTGAAAGATGTATTTCATGACCTCTAAGGAATTGCTATTTTTAACATTTGTTGTAGGTGCCTTGAAGTCACCTCTTAACTGGAAACACTAACTATAACTAGTTAGCCGACTCTGACAGCTGAGGGATTTTATAAGGCTTATTGTAGAAAAAGGCACAGCGATTTGTCATTGACTGCCGAGATGTGACCTTTAATTTTTGATGTTGGCTGGCACACCGTCCTACATATACTCGTATAATAGTAATGAGCACTTTTAACCTCTACACCACGATGGTCGTAACTGGAGGGAGAAAAGACGTGTAAAACAACAAAAAAATTGCAAACAATTCTCTGATAAGTAAAAAAACTTAAAATGTTGCCTATATTTAGGGTAAATTTGAAATAATGGAACGGCAAGTGAACAAGAATGGAAAATAATGGAATGTACGATTTGAATAAGCTTTTAGGTAGTCAATTGTCTGTTTGTGGTAAACAAAAATGTTTATTCTGTAATATTCGATTTTATTATTATTTTAAAAAACTCGCCACTGCTGATATTTGGCTCTCATTGCAATTGCCTAACCAAGGCAACCAAGATAATTAAGGAAGCGTCTAGCTCACTAATTAATCATATATGATAAAAAAAAATTAAGTTATCCTTACCTTTCTCTTACAACCTCTAAGTTGTAACAAGCGCACTAGCATTATTAAAACTAAGAAGGTGCAAACCATATTAATATGTAGCAATTCAGCGTACTAAACCAACTGGAGCTCTGTTCAACAACCTTTGCAAATATGTTTTCTACACTCCAACTACTGTTAACTCCACTAGTGGAGTTACTAAAATTCACCACACAAAGAAAGTCAAGATGCTCGCCTGAAAGTATGTAGCACTGTTTGCTTTGTCCTTTTGAAGGGTAATAGCGTGAGTACTCGCCAACGCGAAGCACGCTCTCATACGCTCTCACCTGCGTCGCTGCCGCTGCGGAGCGTTGTGTTGAGTTTTCGGGCCAACGCGCGTTTTTTGCATTACTCTCGCTGAAGTTTCGGCTGCTGACACAATTCAACATCTGTGTCCCCGCCTCATTGCCTTTGTTGGCGTTTTCAAACTGTTGCATCAACGAGCGCTTTTCGCTGTGCGAAATCGAAACTACAAATCAGTGTAGACGGTCGATTGAAAGCGAATGGTTGGCACACGTTAGTGAGTGCACCTCAAAAACTGACGTACATACGTAGCGGTAAAGCGCGGTAGTGCAATAAACAAAACGTAGAAACTTGTTGAAAGACTGTAAATGGTAGGCATATACATATGTATGTATAAGGAAGGCAGGGCGAATCGGGATATTTTTTGTTAATTTCAAGTAAATGCTAGCAGATTGCATTACAAATTGCGATAACTCTAATGAAGTACGGGCCGAAACAGGTGGCTTACGGCCATCCAACCCCACACGCACGTAACAGAGCAAATATATGCACATATTTACACACACATGTGCATGCCATTGCCGTGGCTTATAACGAGAGATTATCTACTTTGGCAAATTGAGATTGAGATTTTCCCTACACATTTCGTCGGTGTTGCGCCCTCAGTTAATAGCCCTCATTCGGACGTCAGCAGCAGCAGCACGGCACTAGCTAGTATGTCAGGTCACTGCCATTATACGAACATACCACACGACATACACACACATATACATACATACGTACCGATGCATTGCAGCGCCTCGCGCTGTGTGCGTTTGTTTGAGTTGGAGAGTGCAAGTGAAGTTGGTAGCGATTTTGGTTCGCTTGCGGTGCCTGTGTCTTCTGCATGGCGTTCGTGTACATACTCGTATTTTCGCACACATATACACATATATAAATACAGGCACATAAACACACAAAATGCAGTTAGTTGTAACCATTCGTTAACGGCCGGAATTGGTCGAACCTTCACACCGAATGCGTGTTGAGTAACTGTAAACAACAAAAACAAATATGTTCGTTGGCTCGCACAACATTTTCTTCGTGTGTTATCCTCAGGATTGCACTTGGCATTTTGGCATTTATAACTAAGCTGCTGTGCTCAGTTTTCATCCTGTCGGTTTTGTCGCTCTTAAACTCATCGTCATACTCAACGACGACGGCAACGGCAACGACGACGACAATTGCGTGTTGTATTTTGATGCTTCCACTGTTGTTGTTGTTTGCGTTGCTTCCATGCGTGCCATGTACGTATGTATGTATGTAGAGTTGGCTGTGAGGCAAACAATTTCACTTCGAGCGCCACGAGTCGAACATATTCGAACTTACAGCCGAGCACACGTCGTTTTGTATGGCTTGTGTTTTCAGCACATCGGTAGGGCACGAAGTTGCTTGGCATTTGTTGGTTGCTGAGCAGCCGTGGCTCATTCACGCCGGAACGTTGCGATTGTTAGTGTCGAATACGTCGCTTGTACGCGTTGTTGCCAATACGCTTTAGAGTAAAATTTCCTTAAATAAGTACGGCATTAAAATTTTTACTCGGTCACACGCATGTATGTGTATGTGTATGCGTATGTGCGTGCGTTTTTGTTTGCGTGCATTCTAATGCGTGAGTGCAGTCAAGTGATGCGCTGAAGGTTTGTGTGCGATGTGCACTGCTGTGAGTTTAGCTGAAATGATTACTTTAATTACAACAAATTACAATTAATTACAATCAATTAAAACTATTAATTGTTAAGTGAGAGGCAAACGCTAAACGAAAGTGTAAAATATTGTGGTGCAAGTGTTGCCATTTAAAGTGTCGCGTTCTATTTCCGTAAATAACACATTGTCGAACCTAACACGTACTGCCAATTGTAGTGGAAAGTAAAATTACACACATTCCCAAGTGCTGTCAAGCACACACATATACATGTAAACTAAAGTGAGTACTTGTGCATAATAGAAAAGGGGATTTTCGTTGAGATTTCGTGTTACGCCGCGTTTTATTAACTTACAACTACTTACATGCATACGTAATAGCAACAATTGTACAATCAAATTAACGCTCTAACACATTATCCGGAAACACTCACAAAAGACACAGCAGTGTGTTAACGCGTGTGTTCGTTTGGCGGGTAATACAGGGCGTATGAGTGCTCCAGTTCCACAAAGCAGATATTTCTGATTTAGCGCACAAAACGCAGACCTACTAACACACATATACAAATATATGACGGTACATATATATATATACATATGTAAAGTAAATACAGCTAGCTGCTGGTGCGCCAAGTGAAATTGTTGCTAAACGCGCGCGGGCTTGTGTGTGTGCGTAGTGCAGAGAATTTTTCATGAGCCAACTAAATTTGTGTTGCTGATTTAACGCCACAACAACACTAACAACGGACTACATGAAGACACAAGAAAATAAAAAATAAAAACCCCAAAAATAAAAAAAAAATCAAAAGAGAAGAAGTCTCTGCTATTTTGTGTGTAAAATATTCGTTGTTTCTCGTATTATTATTACTTTGAGCGCTGGCACTGCGCTGACTTGGCACGCATATTTATGCAATTTACGCCATAATTCAATTCGTTTTTCATTTTCGCCAATTCATTCAAGCGCGTTTTAAGGATACTCGCGCGGCTTTAGGTGGCAAGCTTAGCATACTATATGGCGCGCAGTCAGTGCTAGTACGCACTAACACTTAGCCAACTAGTTAGCTTGCATGTGTTCAGTTTTGTTTGTGTTGTGTTTTGAATTCGTGGTGCGTGTAAATTAAATTATTTACACTTGGAGTACGCTGACGTGCTTTAATTTATGCGAAATTGCGCCAAAGCGCCTAAATGTAGACAACATTTCAATTTAAATAATTCACAGAAATTCGACGCTGCGGCAAACGACTTTACACAAATAGTGTAATTTATTAGTAAAAATTAAAAAAATACGTAAATAAAATTTAGAAGTTAAAAAAAAACAACAACAACAATTCACTTAAAAAATAAAAGTATCATCCCAAAAACTAGTGTAAACTAATTGTAATTCCCAGTGTTTGCCACGAGCTTCTGCAACTTTTATTTGCTGACGCTGACAAAACAGCCAGCTATAACCCCAAATGAAGTGACAAAAGAAATTGCTGCAGAAGTTCTGAAACAAGTGCGGAAGTAGCACAGCAAAACAAAAATAATATAAACAATACAAAAAAAGGTAAAAGGAAAAATTTAGTGCAAATGCGTGAACACAGTGTAAACGCTAAACAACAGGTGAACTTTGCAACTTAAATATTAAGCTGTGTCTCCGAGGAAAATTCCATGAGAACTACATACTTGTAACCGACACAAAAGCTGCTGAACTGGTGAGTGTCGTTGTCGTTGTTGTTTTTGTATTAGTTTTTCTTTTTGATAAACTTTTGCATTCACCTTTTGTTGATTGTGGAAGCTGACGCTGTTGCTGTTGTTGTCCTCTTCTTCTGGTGTGCTATTTACTGTCGTGCTTTATTACAGCTGATAGTTCGTAAAACACTTTAATTAATAGATTGATTGCATTGGATACGAAAGGAGGCACAGTTATTTGGTGTTTATGTCTTTAGTGATTATGTGCTCAGTGTTTGGAATGCAAGATGGCAAAAAAGAAGATGTGATTTAATAGATAAACCGTACTTTGTAGTTCTGACTTTTAATGGACATAGAGATTCGGTAGACTTTGATTAATAATATTTAGCAGTATTTTTCGCTTTCTTACAATGAAGTTGTTGTAAAATTTTGATAGACTACCAATTTATATATTTTAAATAACTGTAGAACATGGCTTAATTTAAGAGTATTCAAAACTATTCAAAAAACTTAAAATTAAATTCTTCGAATTCTTTGTTTTGATTAAATTTGTAAGATTAAAATTTTTTTTGACATATATGTAGAATTTTCTGAAAATTTTATAACTTTAATAAAGAATCCAATAAGAAAATTCGCAAAATATATTTTGGAGTTTATAGGCTTTCTAAATTTGCAACAACTCGATGTATGTTATTTAATTTAGAAAAGGTTGCTAGCTGTAGAAAAAAAAATTCTGAACAATTTAAAGAAAATTTGACAATATGTAAAAAAAATTACAAATTAAAATTTTTTTAATTAAAAAAAATATAATTGAAAAGAAGTATATTGCATAAGATAATGTGACAATAATATGTTCAATACAGGCCTCGAACGAAAAATGGCGTATAGTAATTTTAAGCAATAAATTAAATAAATCAATTTATATCTATACTTCTTGTGCTTCCTAAAATTTTATAGGAAAATTCAATGAATTTTTTGTCTTGTTATTGTGTATATAGAATTAATTCTTTTATAATTTAGGGAAATGATTAATATTTTGTTATATCAAGAAGCTATATACCGAATAAAAGGTCATACTATAATAAATTCAGTGTAATAGGTGTACATGTAGAAAACCTCCGATTTTCATAAACGTTGTCATGCCGTTTGTAGACTACTAATATTTTTTCATACAAATAAAAAATAAAAGTTTATCATTTATTAATTTTTAGTAAGTACGTTCATACTTCAGATCATTTTAAATAAATATTTGGAAACACTTAGATGTCGATGTTTTAGATTTAATTTTTCTTCAGCAGGTTTGGGCCTGCATGCGAATCTATAAAAACTTATCTTAGCTTCTTATTATTAATCTCCTTGTGATACATATTTGTATTTCACTAATTTCAGGATTTAAATGAAAGTCAAAATTTTAAAAATGTGATTTGAGTGGCGTTGTATCCTGGAAAGATAATGTCAAATCGTTATACAATCGTAGTTAAATGTGATTAAATTTAGCTGAACGGAAAAAAGATATTTATGAGAAGTTACTCTGTAAGAAAACTTAAGGTAAGGTGACTGGTCTGATCTGGTCATTTTGGTCTGGTATTTGACTATATTATTTTTAGGAAAGTCCCCGAAATATAGCAAATTTTAATACCGGAACCAGTACACTTAAACCAAAATTTTATGTATGTTAGACAATGGAAAGTATTTATTTTGAAATAAAATCATCTCAAGTAAAAGTTAGTTTCGTGGTAAAATTTATTCCATAATAAAGTATATAAGTTGAGTTGATTTTGTCCAAATACATTTGATTGAATTTATATATTTTGCTTAAATTTTAGAAAAGCTCTTCTACTTTGCTTTTATTTTAACTCTGTGTGATAAGTTTTTTCCAAAATATAATGATAAATGGTAATTAAAATTTAATTATAGTAAAATTAAAATAAATGTCCAACTTTTAATTAGTGGAGTATGGAGTAGGTAATTTTCAATTGCTTTTTAAAATATTTTTATTTTTTTACAGGAACTAAAGATATAATATAAATGGACTTTGCTATCATTTTGGGCTCCAGAGATATGTTTAAATATTTTACATTTTTTATCTCAAAGAAAATGTGAGCTGAATTTATCTATAGTAATAGAGAAATTTGGCAATACTTTCCGTTCAAAGCAGTGATATCCTTATATTTACTGCTAGCTTGGTGGATGCAATTTAGTCAGTTAATCGCTGTTGATTTCAAAATTCTTTGGCTGCTGCTTATATTATTGCCATAGGACTGATTTGTTTATAACTATATGAAATACTAACTGTAATCCGGCCTCTTAGATATACGACCTGCTAGAAAAGTGACTTTCACAGACAGTAGAATATGGAATGAGAGAGTAAGAGTAAAGAGAGTATCTTACCATTTAAAAAATAATCTTTTGCGAACCTCGTTTTATAAAAGTTTCTTAATTTTGTACCAAAACTTATATGATAGGAAATGGAGATCTTAATATGGCTGGCAAGTATACCTAAATGCAGTAAATTTTCAACGACTTTTATTTAAGACTTCTTATCTCTTGATCATCATTTAAACTTTATTTGAATATATATTATTGCAAATGTCATATAATTCTTTCAATATTAATTGCATCTTAATTAAACGACGTTTAAGTGAGCGTTAAGCCTTGAATTGTTATTGCATTAAAAATACTTAAAACTTGAACTTAAACAATTTTTGCCAAAATTGATAATCCGTTAAATACTCGCATTACCAATAGCAATCCACCTTCATAGAAGTGCTTCAGTTTTGAGTATTTCTACTTAAACCGACATACACGCACTTTTAAACCAGCCAGCCGAACTCGAACCCACCACCGCACTTATTAAACGGCAATCTGTAAACAAAGAAAATTGACTTCTTTTTAATTAACCGGCCTTACGTGATTAAGAGTCGACGCGTCGTTGTCTTCATGCCGCCCGCACCTTTAATTGGCGCTTTTTAATGTCGCACGACTTGCTGCTGCCAGCGCTGCCGTTGCTTTCATACCATTTTCGCCGTCCAATTTGCCGCGCCATTATGACAACGGCGAGCAGTCCCCAGCGAGCGCGCGCACAATGTCCTGCTAATTTTTCATGTAACAAATGAAAATGCAAAAATAAGCGAAAACAAAAAGCGCACGCAACCATATGCACGCATGTATACGTGTGTGTGTGTATTGGACAATTGTGCGCTGAAGCTGTCATTCGTTGCTCGGGTTCGCGTTTTTTTTTTGTCCGCGTCATGCGCCACACTTAATCATATTAACCCGCAAATAGAGTGTGGCAGCGTGCGCTTATATGTGTAGGTGTGTGTGTGTATCATTGCAAGTGTGTGTGCGTGTGTTGGCGTGTGGGTGTCACCATCACACATAATAAAACATTTAAATGATGGCACTTAATTTAATTGTTCCTGCCGTTTCATTGCGATTGTATGTGTGTATGCGTCTGTATACATATGTATGTAGGTGAATGTGTGTGGCTTTGCATTGTTCTGTCAACGCTGCGATCTGTGGTCAAGCGTCACAAAAAGCGGAAGAAGCATATAGTAGACAATACAAACAAGCGAGCGCTGGTGGTTTTAAAACGTAGAAAATGGAAAAAAAATAAAAATAAAAATAATAAAAAAATAATGAAAGTAAATAAAAATAATTACAATTGCAGACGTATCATCAATTATAAATATCTATATTTGTGTGAAGTGTGTTGTTGTTATTGCGGTGATAATTTTCATAAATGCATTGCATAAAATATTGTCATCCAGGCGTTTTGCCAGTTATTGCCACAAATTATGCGAAATAAAACGTTAATAAAAGCTAACGGCGAACAAATAACTCAAAATAATAAGCATAACGGGAATAGTGCTAAATGTTGAGCGTGCTGTACGGTGACGCGCTCAAATTAAATTCGACTAAAATGGAAGCAATCAAATATATGTACATGCAAACGTACTAACACACAAAAAGCAAAAAACAAACGTTTTTAGAAATTTATTTTTTAAGAATTTTTTTATTTTTAAATTATTCTATTTTTTTTAAATTTTAGTATAAATAATTTTTTTCAATTTATTTTTTTAGATATTAGCGGAAATAATTTTTTGTCGATTTTTTTTTGAAAAATTTTCTGCATAAAAAGTATGTACTTGTGTTATATTAGTTTTTTTTAAATATTGTTTTTCGGTGTTTTTTTTTTTTAGAAAATTCACTACATAAAAAATGGGTATCCATGTCATAACTATACGTGTAAATGTTAACACATTCAACACGTTCGAATGCATACACACGTACATACATAATGCAGTACAGATGTGTTGCGTGTAACCAAAACTCCTGCTGGTCGTGTCGACCACAAGAGTTTAATGCTGTGGTTAGTGTGACTTTTACCAAAAGTGAATGGTACACAAGCTGACTGACCTACAATACGCTTATTGGCGTGTATTTTACCCAATTTTTTGTTTTCATTTAAAAATGCATGAAAAAGCGAAATTTAAATCTCAGCAAATTTAGCAGTTCAAATATATAAAAAAATATTTTCAAAATAAATGTAAGCTGTTAAATTTTTGCCTCAGGTATTGTGAGAATTGACAATAGCGCAACTGTATGTGGCATCATAAGCGCGACTAATTTTTGTTTATTATGATGCACTGGCTGTTTGGTCACTTTCATTTATGCCTTTTGCATGGAAAATTGAAATTTTTTATGAGAAAATCATGCAAATATTTTTTAATAAATTTTTGAGTTTGTCAAAATAATTTAGGAGTGTTAAAACGAAAATAGTAATCTATTGGGAATGTAGAGTAATCAATATACCATTAGGATGCTTGTTAATTTCGACTACATTTTGCAGCAATGCATACTATTTCACTAGTGTTTTGCGCATTTTGGTGGATTTTGTTAAGTTTAAAGTTATAAATTTTTGTTGTAACAATACATATATGTTATATTTTATGGTTTAATGTCAAAGTACCCTTGTATTTTTATCAATTTAAAACAATTGATTTATTTTCGTATTGGAGTG